AACTAAGTATATGGATTAAAGATTAATCTAGATGTCCTAAACTGGTCAAACCTCATGAGATGTTATTTAGGATTAGAGTCAAGACTATCACTAAAACAAGGATACCCAAAGGATGAAACAATTCTTCCAAAACTTATCTGCCAGGGTTTAATTTCTTTGCCCATCTAAGCACTGGTCTGATTTTTTCTTGCTTGCTCCAGTCCTTTATTCTCCACTTAATTCCCCTTGGTGATATCTGTCTTGTGACACTTGCCACCTACGTTAATGTGCCCTCAAAACTGTATATAAGCACCACATTCAGATAATGTTATCACATTTTCTTGACAAAGCATTCATTAATGGGTTTCTCTGTACTACAACCACTGGAGATACTTTGAGCATTCTTCATGTTCTTAGCTGAGGTTGCACTAGAGGACATTCTGGAGAGAATTGAGATTCACTTTTTCCAGCACCTTTCTTTATTCAGTTGGCTTCTCAGGAAGCCAAATTAGGACCAGCAGCCTCCAGCTCCTTTTCTTCAGTTGGTAAATTGAGTGTGTGATGTTTTGGGTCTTTCCCCAGTTGCTTTTAAGTCTGTCCCTTTCTTGATGGCAGAAAAGTCAGTGCAATACTTAGTTCTTCCTCCATCCCCTGATATTGCGGTTCAGGCAGGTGGGACAGCTATACTTTGTCCACCACATTTTTGGGAACAACATGCTTTAGCCTATCACTGCCAGATGGACGTGTATTTAAAATCTCAAAGAATAGGCCCGCTCCTGGAAATGTGTGGTTCCAGAATGGAGTCTGTGATCAACCTAAATAAACCACAATTTTCTAGGATTTGTCTGACCCTAGTTATGGTGCTAAGATATTTATCATCCCTCCAACTTTTTTGGAAGCCTCTCAGCAATCGTCACATCAATTTGATGAGGATTTGTGACCATTGTTAGCATCCACCTTGGTTTGATTGTCAGATTCTGCACTTTCCCTAGTCTGATTGGCAGGTATGATGTTGGGATTTATTGGGTAGAGATGCTTTGTTGGAGGCATTTGTCTACTGGATGCCACCCTCCAGGAGTTACATGAGGCCCCCTTTCTCTGATCCTTGATTTTTGCAGGTTTTCCAAAGTCTTTGGAATCAAGGGATGATTTCACCCATCTGTATTCATCCTTGTTGGCATTGGTTTCTAGACTTTCCTTAGCTCCTACAGGGATTCATAGTTCCACCCCTAATCGAGTTTCCCAATCCCTGACATCAGCCCCTTGGTCCATTGGTACCCATAATAAAGATTTCATGAGGTTCCTCCGCTCTGTGGGAACACCACCAGTGACAGTGGGGACTAACGTATACCTTTGCAGTCTTTGGGGGCTCAGTTTCGAGAAGTTCTGGATGTGTGGAAAACCTTTACCACGGATCCATGGGTACTACTGGTTCATGCATCAGGATTAGTCATTCAGTTCACATTTTCAACACCATTATCCACCCAACCTGTAGTGTTTCTGTCTCCTGCAGATCTTTGGATTTCAGAACTTTGTTCCAGGGCTATCACAGATTTGTTGGTCAAGGAAGCAGTGAAGAGAGTCATCCCAGTTCTTCCATAGTTTTTGTGTCTGTCTGTTGTGCCCATGAAGACACAAGATTGGCATCCAGCCATCAATCATTCTCGTCTAAATCAATTCCTTCAAGGTTCACTTTGGAACAGGTGTCAGTATATCCACATTTGGAAGGGGTGGGGGTGAATTAGTGTTTGACCTGAAGTGAAATATACTTGTTTTTACAGTTGCAGACACATCAAAGTCAAACCAATATATTTTTATGTGAAACCAGATAGGTGTGGGTAAGATGTTTTATAGCAGTATACCTTTTTTTGCCATTTTTGTCCTTACTGGTATGCATACTGTTGCATACCACCACACTTTAATTACTGATTATTCTATATGTCTCATATGAGAATAATTGATTAGCTGAATATAATTGATAAATGAATCCAATGATTAATTGACTATCAAGTTCCACTAATAGCCCAGCTCCACCCTTGGGTAGTTTATTGAAGCCCCTAACAATTTCCATCTAATTGTAAACTTCAGAGAAAGCAAACTTAAAGCCTTGAGTCTCTTTTTAATAAATTTAATGTTTCATACTATAAATTATATTGGTATCTCATTTCTGAATTTTTTTCAAGTAAATCAGTATATTTTCTGTAATAAGTGGACCAGAACTGAACACACTGCACTGCGTCCTTACTAAAACACT